GGTTATGGGAGCAGGGAAGTTTATATCTCAACTAAGAGAGCTATTTTAGGGTTTGCAAGAGACTTGATTCTTGAGGGGTTCCCAGTAAAAATTAAATAAAAATAAATAAATAAATAAATAAATAAATAAATAAAAAGAAAAATAAAGAAAAAGAAAACGCTTTCCTAAGTCAGGTAAGCCGGACCCAAAAAGAGGAATAAGTTATGTATTCACTCATAAGTGGATTCTAGCCATAATTAAAGGTCTTTGAGCCTATTATTCGTGATCCTAGAGAAGCTAAATAAGAAGGTGAACCTGAAGAAAATTCAGGTAGTTTTCCTCCTGGAGATTGGAAATAGACAAGAGTTCCAGGTAACCAAGGGTGCATGGGGGGTTGGGAGGGTAGTTGAAAGGGGAGGAGGTTAGAGAGAAGGGAGCAGGGGAGGAATGGGAAATGCTCGGGGGACTGGGAGGGGGGGAGGGAGGAAGGATAGATATGGGTTCAGGGAAGAATATATCTCAACTATGGAAGTCAGTTTAGGGTTTACTAGAGACTTGACTGTAAATGGGATCCCAGGTCCAAGGAGAGATCCGCAGATTGTTCTCTGGACAGAGGAGAGGGTGCCTGAACTGGCCTTGGCCCATAACCATACTGATGAATATTTTCCTTATCACCATAGATCCTTCATCTGGCAATAGATGGAGATAGAGACAGGGACCCACGTTGGAACACTGGACTTAACTCCCTAGGTCCAACCGAGAAGCAGAAGGAAGAAGAACGTGAGCAGGGAGGGCAAGATCAGAGGGAACCTTCATCCGGCGATGGATGGTGATGCAGACGGAGACCCACATTGGAGCACCGGACTGAGCCCCCCAAGGTCCAAAGGAGGAGCAGAAGGAGGAAGAACATGAAAAAGGAAATCAGAACCGCAAGGGGAGCGATCACCCACTGATACAAGGCGAATGATCTAATGAGAGTTCACCAAGGCCAGTTGACTGGGACTGAAGGAGCGCTTGAACCAACCAGATTCTCTGGAGGAGGCTGGATTCTCTGAATGTGGCTGGCCCGAAGTCTTTCTAAAAAGCCATTGACAATGACTCTGGGACTTGTTTCCTCTGCATATTCAGGATTTTGGGGGATCCAGTCTGATTGGATACTCACCTTCCTGGTCCTGGAGGGAGCAGGGAGGAACTTGAACTACTCATAGGGCAGGAAACCCTGACTGCTCTTAGGGATAGAGAGGGAAGAGGAGAGGGAGTGGGGGGAGTGAGAGGGTGTTGGAAGGAGGGGCAAAAATGGAAACTTTTATATTTTAATAAACTTAAAAAAAAGGAAAAAAAAAGAAAAAATAACAACAACGACATCTTGAATTTTACATGCAAATGGATGGACATAGAAAACGCTTTACTGAGTGAGGTAACCTGGACCCAAAACGAGGAACATGGTATGTATTCACTCATAAGCGGATTCTAGCCATAATTAAAGGTCTTTGATCCTATTATTCACGATCCTAGAGAAGCTAAATAAGAAGGTGAACCTGAAGAAAATCATGTAGTTATCCTCCTGGATATTGGAAGTAGACTAGAGTGTCAGGCAACCTCGGGTGCATGGGGGTGTGAGGGGGTTGTTGGAAGGGGAGATTGTTAGAGAGAATGGAGTATTGGAGGAATGGGGAAAGCTCCGGGGATTGGGATGGGGGGAGGGAGGAAGGATGGATATGGGATCAGGGAAGTATATATCTCAACTAAGGGAGTCATTTTAGGATATACAAGAGACTTGATTATAAAGGGGATCCCAGGTCCAAGGCGATATCGCTAGATTGTTCTCTGGACAGAGGAGAGGGTGCCTGAACCGGCCTTGGCTCATAACCATACTGATGAATATTTTGGATATCACCATAGAACCTTCATCTGGCGATGGATGGAGATAGAGACAGAGACCCACATTGGAACACTGGACTTAACTCCCTAGGTCCAAATGAGAAGCAGAAGGAAAGAGAACGTGAGCAAAGAAGGCAAGACCAGAGGGAACTTTCACCCGTTGATGGATGGAGATTGAGACAGAGACCCACATTGGAGAACCGGACTGAGCCCCCAAGGTCTAAATGAGGAGCAGAAGGAGGGAGAACATGAACAAGAAAGGCAGGACCTTGAGGAGTGCGTTCACCCACTGATACAAGGGGACTGATCTAATGAGAGTTCAGCAAGGCCAGTTTGACTGGGACTGAACGAGCACGTGATCCAACCAGATTCTCTGAATGTGGCCGGATTCTCTGAATGTTGCTGGCCCTGGGTCTTTCTAAAAAGCCATTGACAATGACACTGGGACATGTTTCCTCTGCATATACTGGATTTTTGGGATCCAGTCTGTTTGGATGCTCACCTTCCTGGACCTGGAGGGAGGGGGGAGGAACTTGAACTTCCCACAGGGCAGGAAACCCTGACTGCTCTTAGGGATAAAGGAAGAGAGGGAGTGGGGGGGAGTGGGAGGGTGTTAGATACATTTGATTGGTACACCTTTTCACAATCTTTTACTCTGTGGTAGATTCTGTCTTTGGGGTTGTGGTGTATTTCTTGTAAACAACAGAATGCTGAATCCTGTTTTCATATATATTCTTTTACTTTTATCCTTTTATAGGTGAATTGAGTTCATTAATTTTAAGCAATATTAATGAACAGTGGTTGTTAACTCTGGTTATTTTTCAGTAGTAGTGTATGTGTCTTTCTCTTTTTTGGGTTATACTGGTGGGGGTTATCAGATGTCTGTGTTCTTGAGGGTGTACTTAGCTTCCTTGAGCTGTGATTTTCCTTCTAGTACTTTCTGTAAGGCTGGGTTTGTGGATACATATTGTTTAAATCTGTTTTTGTCATTGACCATTTTGTTTTCTCCTTCAATGGTTAAGGAAAACTTTGCTGAGTATAGTAGTCTGGGTTTGCATCTATGGTCTCTTAGTGTCTCCAACACACTTATCCAGGACCTTCTGGCTTTCATGGTTTCCATTTCAAATTCAGGTGTAATTTTGGTAGGTTTACCTTTGTATGTTACTTGACTGCTTTTCTTTGCAGAAGTGATTTAAATAATATAGTCACTGTGTGATTATTTCAGAGCAAAGATAGTTGGATAGCCAGGAAGGACAAGAGACCCTCCCCATTACAGAGACATCCTATTTAGGAATCATTGTTCCAAGGTTTGTATTATGTCTGGATCCAGACATTAAGTCTGATGGGTCTACATTTGCTGCAGGAGGAAGCTTCTCTAGATGATGGCTGAGCAAGACACTGATCTGCTTTGCTGGCCAGACACAAAGTAACCTAGAGTGTGAATTGATCCTTAAAGTACAAGATGAAGAGTCTAGGAAAATGATTTATAAGAGGGAGAAAAAAGTAGGATATGTCAGGAATTGTGATCAAAGAACATTATATATGTGCATGAAAATATTACTAGGTACAATGTATAATGAATACATGACAGTAAAACATGAATTGACCTAACCAGGTATGGTGGTACGTGCCTTAAATCACAAGAGTTGGGAGGCAGAAACAGGCATACCACTGTGATTTCAAGGCCATTCAAGTCTACTAAGTGAGTTCTGGGACAACCCAGGCTATTACACAGAGAAATACTGTCTCAAAACAACAACTAAAAACAAATTGCCCAAATTACTGAGAATATCTAGAAAAATGAAAGCCCAGCTTATTTGTAAAATGAGACAGAATCAAAATAAAACAGAATCTCTATAAGATGTCAGAGTGGAATAGAATATTTTGTGATGCATTCCTATTTCTCTAAATAGATGGTAGATAAAAATGATAGAGGAGGGATGGGAAGATTCTCCCACAAATCTGAGAATTATGAAACAATGATATTCTAGCCAATATGAACGTTCCTATTGCCCAAATCCTAGTTTATCTTGACCTTTTTGTTTGTTTGTTTGTTTCGAGAAATGACAGAATCCATGATTGTGATAATCCAAGAGGTGCTTAGAATTCCTTTTTGTGCCAGAAAGTACATACACCCTCAGAGACAAAGTTTGTAAGGTGGTGCATGCCTGAAATCCTGGTGATATGGAGACAAGAATAGGACCATCCCTGGAGCTTACTTATCTTGCCCCAAAAATGAGCTTCATGACACTGAGAGGCCTCCCATCTCAAAAGATAAAGTTGAAGTCCAACAAGATGACTCAGTGGGTAAAGGTGTCAGCTATCAAGACTTACAACCAGGGTTCAGTCCCCAGGACACACATGGTAGAAGGAGAGAACCAACTCCTTCAAGTTGTCTTATGACTTCTACACTGGCACCGTGGTGCATGATCATATGTGCCAACACACTGAAATGCAATTTAAAATGCTACTAATAAAGTGAAGAGCAATTGGGGAAGACACCATCACATCAACCTCTGGCCTACACACATGTGCACACACATGTGAACACATAAATATATATATACAAACATACAACACACACAATAATGATGACAGAATGAATGACTATATTTACAAGCAATAGAAAAAATCTACAAGAATTACTCTCACCTTTACTAATAAGATCGGTTTTCAACCAGCCCCAAACTCCGGTGACTATGATGGTAAAAGGGTTTAGTTTCTTGGTGTCTTCAGGAGCAGAGAGGACAATTGCACACATGCAGTCGCAAAATTTCTGGTTATCTGTACAAGATCCAAACAGTATCAATCAGTCCACTTTCCAGAGTGAATGTGCAGGGGCTCATCAATCCTAACCACATAACTGAGGAGGTCATGATATCTTATGGCTGCTAGAGAAGGAGACTAAATTTTTGCCAGGGGTGTAGTCCCAGATAGTTGCCTCTGCTCCAGTGGATGACCCCACACTATGAACATATGGGAAACACTAATTAGATTCAGTGGCTTATAAACAAAAAGAAGACATGACATTGGGAGGCAGATTTTGGGAGTGTATTCAAAAGAATTTGATCAGCGTATTAGGGGATGTACACAAACAAATTACATTATGTACATGTATGAATGTCTCAAAAAATTTTATACTTATAAAAAGTATTTTATTCCTGGTTCTTCTTGGTTCAGATTTCTATCTTACCTCTTAATATATATGAAAACATCATGTTACTAGTAGTGTTCAAAGTACTTGAAGGTGCTATATACAATACTGGAGGATAAAAGTAATTAACAGACTCATCCAGCTGTGAAACATGCAAGCTACAATAATGCTCTTCCTGAAAGATATGCCCACTGGTACAACTGTGGGAGAAATGTTATGGGAGTAATCACTCACTTTTTAATTTGGATTACAGGCCCATTCTATAAGATGGAATGCATACCCAACACTGAGATCAATGAGATCAAGAACCTGAGGCTAGATAAACCATGAGTCCTAGGAGAATACATACTACTACCAATCTATTAAATGAATATATCGATAAAAGAATTCTAATGGTGTAGTGGTATATACACTGAATAGTACATCACTCTACCCTCAACACAAGTGTCTTCTTGTAGTAGAATATATTTAACAACAAAAACTACAGCTCATCAATATGATAGGAAAGAGAGACTGTGGAATACTCAACTCTGACCAGAATGTCTATGTTATACCTCTCCCCTCAATGCTCAGGGATCCATGTGAAATACAAGGCAGAAAGTTTGTAAGAGCTAGAGGTAGTGGATGACTTCAAGGAAACAGCATTTTCCAGATACAGCATGGCAGATGCACATATGAGCTCTCAGACACTAATACATAATTCACATAAAGTGAACAAGCAAAATCCTAGCATACAGAAACTCAGCATCCTGCCCTAGCCAAGGAGATATTGTCAACTTCATACCCCTGAGAGAGGGAAAGTCAATGGGGAGACACTGAGTATGTCAGCTGCAATCCAGGGCAGGCATCACACTCAGGAATACTATCCAACATGAACTGGACTCCATGGCTTGGTTTAGTTTGAAATAGTTGGAGAGAATATAAATTTGGGTGGGAAGGAAGATAGAGGAAGATCTGGTAGGAGAGTAGGAAATTAATTATTATAATCCAAATATGAAGTTCTCATCAAACATAAAAATGGATTTTAAATAAGTTGTTAGAGGAAGGATGCTGAGATATCCCTGGGAAGGAAAAATAGAAGAAATTTTGTGAGTGGACTGAGGGCAGGTGCTTATATTTGTGGAAACATGAGTGGTCAGGTTGCAGGGCAAAGAGAATGAGAGTACTAATAGATAACATTGGAAAGTGGGGGCATTTCAGAGTCTGGTAAAAGTCTGATGCAAGGTAATCTCCTAGAAATCTGTAACGATGACCGAAGTCAAGACCCCTAGCAATAGCTGATACTTAGCCTGAACTGGTCATCATCTATGACCAGCCTATTCCTATCCCAGTTGTCATCAGAGTGGCTTCATCCAACCACTGATGGAAACAGACCCAGACTCACAAACAAACATTAGGTGGAGTTCAGCGAATCCTCCATAAAAGGAAGTGAAAGAATTGTAGAAGCCAGAGGAGTCAAGAACACCACAATAAGACTCACAGAATCAGCTAATTTGGCCTCATAGGAACACACAGACTGAACTGACAACCAGGGAGCCCACATGGGACTGACCTAGGCAGTCTGCATGTATGTTAGAGCTGTGTAATTTGGTCCTCTTGTGGAACTCTTAACATCAGGAGCAGGGGCTGTCTCTGATTCTTCTACAGACTTTTGGAACTCTACTCCTCATTCAGCCCAGTCCTATAACATGGGAGGTGCTTAGTCTTACTACAACTTCATAGTCTTTGGTTTATTCACTTCTCATGGGAGACGTGACCTTTCCAAAACAGAAATGGAGGAAGAGTGCATGGGGAAATGGGAACAGGTCAGGGTGGTAGGGAAAAGGAATGGGAGGAGAGGATGGGAGAAAAAACTAGCTGGGATGCAAATAAACAGGCAAATGTATTTATTTTTTAAAAGAGATGTTTACATTTTCAGTGTAACGTTTATTGTAGAATATTGCAACTAAGCATCTGATCCAATTTTATACTAAGAAATGTCACAATGCTTCACATTTTCATAAAAACTCATTATTGATCAATTTACAGAGGCTAGGTTGCTCTTAAAAAAGGTCAAAAGAACTGATGGAGTGAACCAAATGTGAATTGAGGTGGTCCTATGAAGACAACAAAAGATAAATTTCTCATTCTATCACTGACTTAGTCATTTTGTTTATACTGAGTTTTGATACTTAAAAAGTTCAATGGGTGTCTGAAACCTCATAATGATCCCTCAAGGCCACTAAACTAAACCCTATCTTCTCAGGGGTTTTATTCATGAAGTAAACCAAAGTTTGCAACGTTCTTAGGCATCACATTCTTGAGGAACACATCAAGTCTTTGATGGAAAATCATGCTCCAGTTGTGATTGTATCACGTGGCACAACCTTTAGAACAATGGGTTTTTCTGGTAGAATCAGATATTCTCGGCTTAATTTCATAGGGATCTGCAATAGTGTAAAATAAATTTAAAAAATTAATGAGTAAACTAACAGCAATCCCAGAAGAAATGCTTAAAAATTTCAAGATGATAATTCTTTGCAGAAATATAAAAGCTACATTTAACATCAAATATTTTAACTTCCTTATTCTCCAATCTGCCCCAATGAGATGGTGAGAGTATATATGTAAACCATGCATTGGGTAAAATGTTGATTGAGAATCTACTGTATATAGGACCTGAGATGAAGTCATGTTGGTTTATGTTATTTCTGTTCTGTGTTGATTTAGAGTAAAACAGACAAGGTTAACATTTTTGAACCACATTCTTAGCTATTATGTGATAATATTTTTCTAAGTCCTGAGAAGTTATTTTTGATTTGTTGAAACTTGGTACTCTGAGCAGATACATTTCAAATATGTGAGCAGTCCTCACTTCCTATATATGTCACCCCTACAACTGAGTCTATTCAGGAAAAGACTTTGATAGGAGAGATACTTGTTTGCTTTTCTAACTTCTACTCTTGTCATGTGATGATGGGTTGGTTGAACTGAGTCCTTAAGTGTTTTAAATGCTGCTTTAGCCTCATGCTATTCCGAGATGGTGGGGGAATGCCTCAAACAGAGTATATTCTGATCCCAGGACAAGGAATGAGAGAAAAGTTCTCATGAAGATATAGAAGTGTCAAATTTAAAATGAATAGACCTCCTCGGTGAATTTTCCAATGTCAAGTGTGTTGTGGGCTCTCAAAACTAGTCTGTGCTTTGTCTGTCTAAATCCCTGTACATGCTTATAGTTTAAATGCTTTAGTGAGAAAGTAGAAAAATAAGTGAGGATGTATGGGAATAAAACTACATAACTGCCTTAAATCATAAATCACAAAAGCATTTTTATTGCTCTATTTATCCATGAATAAAATTAATTGACAAAGAGAAGACAAATCCTAATACACAAGTTCTGTAAATATTAGCTATCCCTTTGCATGAACAGGAACAAGTTTTTCAGAAAATTATAAACAATTTGTCCAAATGTTCAATTATATTCCTTTAAACTTTTAAGTAGTATTCATGTGTCTTGCATAAAAGTATTAAAAACAGATGTTTATAAAAATATACATACTAAGCAGGGTGGTGGTGGCACACACATTTAAGCATATCACTCAGGAGGCAGAGGCAAGCGGAACTCTATAAGTTCAAGGCCAGTCTGGTCTACAAGAGCTAGTTCCAGGACAGGCTCTAAAGCTACAGAGAAACCCTGTCTTGAAGAAAATAACAAAAAAATGTACACTAATGGTATCTGTTAATGATTTATTTGACTTAAAGTTTTCCTGAAAAAAATTATTATAATTGTTAACCATACTTTAAACCATTTACTGGAGATTTTCAATGCACAAACTCTCCTAAAAGAACAAATTGTAGTTTCTAGAAGAAATAAGATGAGGTGACTATTAGATCAGAGAAATTATATTCTTCAATACAGAGAGAAAAAAGAGCCACATTAAAACTGGTGGCTTTAATGATGAAGCATTAGTAGATGTTATAAAAAATGCCTTCAGGAACAAAAGTAGATCATATAATAAATGAGGAAAGAAACTTAAGAAGAAGAATATTCATTTGAGGAATGAACAAGAACTTAAGGTAGCAAAGCAGATAAAAATGAGAAAAGATACATGATCTATGGAAATATGGCAACTACCTGTTTTCTGGAGCAAGAACTCCAGAGAAGTGAGGCAGAACTGTTAAGATGTCCATTAAAGTTGGAGTTCAACATAACCAGCAACTTTGGAAAGATTCGTTTATTTTTATTTCATGTATGGGAATGTTTTGTTTGCACATAGGCATGTATACTACGTGTGTGCAGGATAAACAGAAGTTTAAGAAGCACACCCAAGCCCTTGTAACTGTGCTTGAAAACGGTTGTGAGGCACCATGTAGGGGAAGGGAACTGAAACCAGGTCCTATTCAAGAGCACCGAGTGTTCATAAATGCTGAGTCATCTTTTGAGCCCTGGCAATTATGCTTTAAAATAATGATTCTCAACTTGGTCTCACATGCTGAGTCAGCAATGAGCTTTTAAAGTCAAACTGTGGGTGAATTATTTTTGGATTTAAGAAATAGCCAGGCATCATTGTAGTATGAGGCCTGGCTTGTTGGGGTTTTTGTCCCTCCCAGTACCCCAACAGCCGGCAAGCAACAAAGAAAATCACACACAAGACTCCATAAGGTTATAAACTGATTGGCTCATTAGGTCAGGCTTCTTGTTAACTCTTATAACTTATATTAACCCATTATTCTCATCTATGTTAGCCATAATGGCTCCGTACCTTTTTCTGTTGGGCAAGTTACATGCTGCCTCTTTGGTGGTCTGTACAGGAATGGCTGAGAGAGAGCTTCTGCTTCCAGAATACTCCCAGTCTCTTTGCTCCACCCCTACTTCCTGTCTGGCTTTCCCGCCTATACTGCCTGCCTAGCCAATCATCGTTTTATTAAAATATGATTGACAGAATACAGATAATTCTCCCGCACCATTTCCCTCTCTTTTTTTTTAAACAAAGGAAAATACTCATAATCCATTTGTTGGGAATGTGGGCATAGTATTTTAGGCTACATTTTGTTGGTTGGGGGCGCTGATAGTCTTAAGGGGACCTAAAGAAAATTTAGAGTTATAATCAAGTCATAACTGGAGTATCCTGTGAGTTTTGATCATCTCAGGCAGCAGTCTTGAACCTGTTTTGGATGAAGAACTCAGACATCTGGGCCATCTGTTTCTGTCAGAGATTTTTTAGGTGGCCTCCCTTGGTCAAAGGTGATTATTCTTAACTCTGAATAAATCTAAAGTCTCTCATTTTTTGTGGAAACAAAAGCAAAATCTCTTTTTCAAAGTAACATACCTTTTGACTTCAGTTTTGAAGCCAAGGTATTTTCAAAATTCCTATCTTGGGTTAGTTTAGCAGCATTTATAAACAAAAGTCTTTTAGCAGTTGTTGCTCCTTCCTCAGCAATCAAACAATTTAAAGAGAGCATAATAGCATACAGTATGAAGATTCTCTGTGCATTTTTCATCTTTATGTGGCTTTATTTTAACCTCTATTTCTTTTATTTTTACTTTTACTTTTTGAGACAGGATCTTTGTATATCTTTGTCCTGGAATAACACTGTAGACAAGGCTGTCTTTGAACTCACAGAGATCCTCCTGTCTCTGCCTCCCCAGTGCTGGGATTAAAGGTGTATGCTACCACACCTTGAACTCACAGAGATCTGTCTCTGCCTCCCAGGCATTGGGATTAAAGGCGTGTACTACAACACCTTGAGGTCACAGAGGTCAATCTACCTCTACCCCTTGAAGTCACAGAGGTCAATATGCCTCTGGATCCCAGTCATTGGGATTAAAGGTGTGTACCACCACACCCAACTACTCTCTTTCAACATAACCAGCAACTTTGGAAAGATTCGTTTATTTTTATTTCATGTATGGGAATGTTTTGTTTGCACATAGGCATGTGTACTACGTGTGTGCAGGATCAACAGAAGTTAAAGAAGCACACCCAAGCCCTTGTAACTGTGCTTGAAAACGGTTGTGAGGCACCATGTAGGGGAAGGGAATTGAAACCAGGTCCTATTCAAGAGCACCGAGTGTTCATAAATGCTGAGTCATCTTTTGAGCCCTGGCAATTGTGCTTTAAAATAATGATTCTCAACTTGGTTTCACATGCTGAGTCAGCAATGAGCTTTTAAAGTCAAACTGTGGGTGAATTATTTTTGGATTTAAGAAATAGCCAGGCATCATGAGTTTCACTTTTGTCTTTGAGACCAGGTGTCATGTAACGCACACAGGCTTCAAATTCACTAAGTGGTCAAGAATTACTTGGACTTCTGATCTTCTTGCCTCTACCTCCTGAGTTCAAGGATTACAGGAATGCACCACCACAGCTACCTCATGCAGCACTGTGCATGGGAACCAGGGCTTTGTGAATGCTAGGGAAGAACTTTACCAACTGAGAAACATCTCAGACTCCATAAATGAGTTGTAAAGCTCCTCGGTGATTCTAATGAAGCCAGGAAATGACAAGACTGTAAGAGGAGAGCTTCTTTTAGCTATGAAGTAGAGACCACCGCCCAACAAACATGAAGTCATGATCACTGCACCTCTGGCTAGCACATGATATACACTAACTTCAGTTAACATGACTGGAACTTCAAACAGAATGCATATAATCTTTTCATATCAACCTGCTAACTCATCAGAATGCTACAGTTATACTCTATATTGACACAGAACCAAAGGCCCCTGGGTACAAATAATTCATTTCCTCATAAAACAAATTAGTAAAACTCAAAGAAGAGTATTACTTTTTCTCCACAGAACCTTCAATTGAAAACATTATTTTTTGAGGTAGTATTTTTCCTCACCTGTGTTTCCTTACAGGGCTGGAAGGAGAAGTTCTGCAGGACTTTTGTAAGAGCAAGTTTCATGTTCATGAGAGCAAACCTCGTGCCAATGCAGTTCCTGGGTCCATTTCCAAAGGGCAGGTATACATGAGGATTGATGCTGCCCTTGTTTTCCTTGCTGAACCTGGAGACACACAGTAATGACAAGTTAGCAAATGACAGAAGCATAACAGCTACATACAAGAATTTGCCTTTAGACAACTGAACAGTAACATACAGATGAGAATTGTACACAAAATGTCTTTTCCAAACCCCTTGTCCTATAGACTTTCCATATGGTAGAGAAAACAAATGCTGTCAGAGACAAAATGCATGCTATGTGCCCACTAGTGTAATAATGTTGTTATGGATTATAGGTAATTAACCACCACCTGATTGGATTGGAGTTCCAATTTATAGGGGGGAATTAATGCCTGATACTATAAATCTGTTCAAACTCTTCTGTGCAGGGTGGTCATAAGCTCGATGAGAGAATGTACTACTGTTGTTTTGCTAAGTGGATATGGTATCAAACTGTCTTCTGAATATTCATGTTTATACACAAAAATTAGTGCTGCTATTAGTCTTGGTCTGTGAAGCTTCTGATTGCAGTTGGAAACAGTTAGCACAGAGACTCATAACTGGTCAAAATGCTGACAAAGAGTGATGGAGTGCTCGGCACTTAATGGACATCTGTATCATCCCCTCCAAAGCTCATGGAACATCTCAGAAGCTCAAGGAACATCTTAGAAAACATCTCAGACGACAGAGCAGAATGACATAAGAGCCAGGGAATGAAAGGGGTGTTGTGAAACACTATCTTCGGGACCTGACACAGCCATTGAACTCATGAACTCCCAGCAGCTGTGGTTGCCTACACAAGTCTAGACCATCCTGATACATTCCATCAAGGATGAGGGAGGGAGTTCCAGAAATTTCACCTTAGTAAGCAATTTTGTACGATGAATAGTTGCCAGGAGAAGGGAATTTTCTCTTCAATGGTGTACTCTTGGTGATTTGTCCATACTCCAGTAAATAACTTCTATATCTATACTTATGCAATCAACTCTAACTAAACTCATGAGTCACTAGAAATAAAGAGCTCATGAAAATAGAAGGAAGCCTTGAATAGAACAAGTAGAAATTCAACAAGTGAGGGAGGGAGATAAAACAGAGTAATGTCAGATAGAAATGTCCAAAATACATAATATATGCATGTAATTGTTCATGAATTAAAAAAAGAGAAAAACAAAATACATCTTTAAATCTGAAAGTTCATTCAGCATAATGCTGGGTTCCATGCCTGAAAAGCACATGTCAGTCAGACTGATGGAAAATGGGTTCCTGTCTCACAATTCAGGTTATTTGCTACTTGAGGAACAAGGAAAAAACATTCTGTATTCAAATTCTCACATTTTTCTTGTCTCTCTTCCTCTCTCCTTTTTTCTCATTTTACTGCAAAATGCAAATGGGTGCAAAATCACATTTAGATCATCTTCCCATAACAGACACCATAGCATATACAGGCCATCATAGATCAGAGTTAGTTCCCATTCCTATGATCCTGGTACCTTTCAGGGCGCAATTCTGTAGGCTCTGGCCAGTACTGTGGGTCATGGTGAAGAGCATAAACTGGTATAACCACTACAGACCCTTTGGGAACAAGCACACCATCAATTTCCACATCCTGTTTACAGAATCTGTCAAGTCTCATGCCAACTGGGTATAATCTGAGGACTTCATTCAGCACCATGTCAAGGTACTCTATCTCCATCACTTTATCATAGTTGGGAGGTTCCTGTGAAGAAAGAAAAAGATTTGTGCTGAGATTTTACATTAACATTCAATAGGTCTGCATTGTATTTCTGTGTTCTCAGTAGTTCCAAAGCTGAGTTCAGCATTTAAAAAGGCCTAGGCACTTACAATCTATTTTAAATGGATTTTTAATTGTTTTATTTGATGTGAGGAGGTGTTTTGTGTACATGTGTGTAAATGAACCCTATGAATGTAGTGCCCACAAAAGTCCAAAGAGGGTATCAGATCTTTTGTGACTGGCATTACAGGCAGTTGAGAGCTGCCACGTAGGTGCTGGGAATCAAACCTGGATCTTCTTAAAGAGCAGTCATTGAAACACCTATCCAGTCTCTTACATAGTGATTAGAATAACTACCTATCACTTCAGGCTAGAAAGATGTCTCAATTATTAAAGTGTCTGTTATGCAAGCCCAAGGACCTGAGTTTTGACACGTGCCATGCATAAAGCCAGACACAGTGGCACATATCTATAATCCTGTGAGTGGGGGACGAGCAGAGTATGTACGTTGACAAGATAGCATAGAAAAATTGAAAAGCTCCAGGTTCAGTGAGAATGTGTGACAAAAAGCAGGTGAAGAAAGAGTGATTAAGAATAATACCAATTGTAGACATATGACCTCCATACACGTGAAAACACACACACACACACACATGCACACATACAAAGACACTCACTCTCACTGTTTCTCTCTCTCTCTCTCTCTCTCTTTCCCTCTCACACGCACATGCACACATGCTCCATTGCACGAGATGAGAAGTTGTCTTTTTTCTCTTCTACTCCAAGTATCATCCATTCACCTTATTGGGCAGAGCCATATCGATCTCTTCTTGCAGTTTCTTCTGGATATCAGGGTGAGTGGCCAGTGAATGCAGGGCAAAGGCAAGTGTGCTGCTGGTGGTTTCATAACTAGCAAAAATTAAAATAATTGACTGGGCCACGATCTCCATGTCAGTCAGAGCTGAAAGGAAGAAAATAGTTCAGGAAAGTCAGGTCAGGGTGGACAAACACAAAAGAGATAAGGAGAAAATAAATTGAGGCTCCTGTTTCCCTAAAGATAAATATGGAGAAGCCATTCATTCTGTCATTTTGGGACTGTTATCAATCTGACATCCATGTGACACAGTCAGAGAAGGGGAAGATTGCTTCAGCCAGATGTCCCATTGTTTATGCTCTGTTCCTCATCATAATTAGGTAACTACAAGACACATTATTTATCCTATATTTAAGATTTATTTTTATTTTTTATTTATGTGTATTTGTGAGTGTAGGGGTGTTACATGGAGAGAAGTGCTCTTGGAGTCCAGAAGCAGGCATCTGATTCACTGGAAATGGATTTTAGAAACTTGTGAGTTTTCAGGAATAGGTATTGGGAACTGAACTAAACTTAACTGAGCTTAAGTTTTTTATGTGTGTGTGCAGATACATGTATACAAGTTCCCACGGAGAGCAGAAGATGAATTGGAGCACACAGAGCTTGAGATACAGGCAGTTGTAAACCTTTTGCCATGAGTGATATGATTCTGTTCTTGGTAATTTCTTTCAACCAGTTAGTGTAAGTACTTGCTACTAAGTTAAAATTGGACTATAAGCCACAATAAGGGAGTATTTTTAAATTAACATCTTTTTTAGCTATAAAAAATGAAACATAATGGTCGAGGTGAAGGTGGAGAGCTAGCCTGGCAAGTATGAAGCCATGTGCTCCATCTCCAGCACTGTATAAACTAGGCATGGTAGTATAGAAGTTAAAAGGACATTCTCAAGCACACCATGACTGTGATGTCAGCCAGGGCTACATAAAACCTGGTCTCAAAAGGAAAAGGAGATACAGAAAAATTTGGAGTTAGCTGAACACATTAAAGGGTTTCAAGTGCACAGTCTGGAGAAAATTTAAACATGAAACCCACGATGACTTTAGAAAACAAACTTGGGATCCTAGAAGATCATATTGCTATATATAAGTGATTGTGTGCGCTAGAAATACGAAGATATGCAAGAACGGAAGATTCCCTTTATATTAGCTACTGATGCACACATGTAGAATTAAAAACGGAATTGGGATACCATCATTTTGCAACCATGACAGTAATAATGGTTTTAAATTAAAACGTAAACCTAGAAGGGAGGCTAGAGTGATGGTTCAGTGGGTAAGAGAACCTGCTGGACAAGCATGAGGACCTGAGTTTGAATCCTCAATGCTCATGTAAAAAGACAAGTGTGGTAACACACTCAAATCCATGGATCTCTGGGACCAGTTGACTGCCAGACTAGCTCCAGGTTTAATAAGAGACTCTGTCTGGAGGAAATAAGGCAGAGAGTGATTGAGCAAAACACTTGTTGCCTTCTTCTGATACCCATTCACACACTTATTGATATGCACATGTGCACATACAAATACACACACATACATATCCCACCTGAAAAGGTTAAATTCTATAATTGCTTTTAAGTGTGTAAAATAATGAAGAGAAGCAATGGGTTTGTACAAAGAAGGTTTCCCCAGATATCACTTATCCAACACACAAAGAAAATTAAATCTTCACTATAGATTAGGATAAAGTACTTGTACACCAGTAACTCCCAGAAAGCATCAGCACTATTTGGGTACATGTCTCCTGACTGGATGTAGACTCGGTTATCTAGGCAGAGTTCCTAGTGAGTTCCTACTCTGTCTTACAGGGAAAGACAAAAACATCACCTGTGCAGACCTAAGTAACACAGAGAGACCAATGAAGACTCCCATCATGACTACCCTTCATGTTTGATATAAACTTGTGAGCATGTGCTTCTAGAAAATTCCATGTAGATAATAGCCACATCCTTTCAGTAACCTGAAAGAGGTATTCTTCTGATAAAAAAAAAACCTTCCCATACATTTTTGAGTGACCTGCTCCGTCCCTGAGAGTCTCCTAGACCAGGGAGTAATTGATTACCTTTATGAGACTCGTTGTCTTTGGAATTATTTTGTGTGTCAATCATCAGCTGAAAAACATCCACTCGGTGCTGGAAGCAAAAGAGAAGTTGCAAAAATAGAAGGTCAATGGTGATGTCAGAAGTCAGAGTTGAATCTGGAGTGGAGAAACTTAACTTCCTTCCTGTAAATGTAGCTCCTTTAAATTCACGAATGCAGCTGGGTTGCTTGAATCATCACAGAACAAAAGCACCAGTGGCTAAACAAGTAAGCAATCCAACTGATACATCAACCACTCTTATAATAAATTACAAAGAATACAATTTTAAACAATAACTTTTATTTTTTGAAATCAACGTTTTTTAAGGAAATGAAAATAGTATTCCCCTTTTAATTATTTTTGTCTATTCTTAGGGAATTTTATAGATCTATATAATAAAATATAGCCATATCTACCCCCATCATTTCTTCCATTCAGTTCCTATTATACCCTTATATTGTTTATCCATGCAAAATCATAAAATATTCTTTTTATAACCCAATGAGTCCAACTGGTGCTGTCAATATGTGATTAACTGTATGGGAAACCTACTACTAGTAACACCCACCCTCTGCAGTCATCAAAAGCCAATAGTTTCTCACATAGAGATGGGGCTTGAAAAGATCCTCTCTCATCTAAGGTGAAGATTTGACGATGTTGATCTTACACAGGTCTCATACTTTGACATATTTTTAATTTCAATCCTCAGGCAGGGCACTCTTGTTTTCATTCCTATTGCTAAAGGTTAATTTATAGATTATTCTCAATCAATTTTCAAAACTTCATTTTTCCTCCTCCAGAAACATAATTGCTCTTTTTATCTCTCTAAATTTGGTCTTCTCTGTCTACCTTTAGTGATAGATGAAGAAAAACACATAACTCATATGTTCACAGTTCAACCCATTATCAAAACCTGTACATCTCATGAGACAACCACGTTTTACCTTCTGGTTAGAAGCAAGGCGATTTTCTTTCATTCTTTCCACAAATTTTTTGAAAAATTCTATTGATTTTTTTGGAAACATGGAGACATTTAACATCTCATAGATTTGGATAAGGGATGGACAGAGAACTGGAAAGGAAAGATAAAGAATTAGTTTTAGTGGAAATGAAAGTTTCAGTTAGAGAAATCATGAAGCAACCCAAAGAATAAGTCACCAGTGTATCAAGCAACCACTCTCTCTGAGACCTTTCTCACACTGGGTCACTACCATAATGATCTTTCTGTACTCTGGAGTAGCCATAGGAAAAAATATAACTCTTGGTTTAAACTCTGCATCTGAAGATTCTGTGGATCCAAAATACAGACAGGGACCAGTGACATGGTTCAACAGCTAAAGAGTCATGCAAAAAAAAAAAAAACCAGGCAACTTGAATTTGATCCCTGCATCCCATGATATGGAAGGAGAGAACCAACCAACTACTGTAAGTTGTCCTCTGATCTCTACATTTCACACAAACACCAAGGCAGTCATAAACACTCACACACAGAGATGGGGGGGTTGCAGAATATTTGTTTACATTGCATGAAGCTATGTCATTATGATTGGATTAATAATAAACTAAATGGCATAGTTAGGCAGAAGTAAATAGGCATGATTTCTTGAGAAAGAGAAGAACTCTAAGAAAAAGTAAGGCAGAGAGATGCAAGGGAAATACTGAAGAAGGCAGATGTACAATATGGAAAAGAGGTAACAATGCCACAAGACAGAACACAGATTAAAAGAAACAGGCTAATTTAAGTTGTAAAAGATAGTTGGGGAAAATCTAAGCTAAAGCCAAATTTTCATAATTAATACTAAGTTTCCACGTCATTATTTGTGAGGTGGCAGGTCAAAGAAAAGTTTTACTACATACATGCAAATACACACACACTCACATACACACAAATGAGTAAATCAATTTAATGTTATCTAATAAATAAGTAATAAAGAAAGAGTAGCCCAGATATAATTTGTTTCTCGACTGACATGATATAGTTTTGTTTAAACTAGCATCAGAAAGAATCTAAGGAAAGTCAGAGGTATGTACAAATTAATCAATACACTCTTAATAACTAAGAATGCCAAAGAACTCCAGGAGGTGATTGGAAAATTTCTTGAGATACGGTTTCATTATAGAGTACATGCCTAGCATGCAAGAGATTCTAGGATCTCCTCCACATAGCAAAGGAACTGAAAATGTCTTGAAAGTTTATGAAATGAAGATACACCAAGATTAGCAGAGAAAAGGCAGAGAAGCTTACAGCCTTATAATTTTAAATCTCAAATTATCAAACATCACATTATAAAATAACATTTTAAATAATTAACTCCAGGGAAGGAGAGATGACTTATTGATAAAATACTTGCTGTGCAAGCACAAGACCTAAATTTGGTAACCAGAACTTCTTTAAAGCCAAGTTCAAAGAAAGATGACCCAAACTCTGAAAGAGAGAAAAATCACACAATCTCCCTCACTTCCAGTGTCTATCCTTTAATGAATAAATGTAAATATGTGAACAGGTATAAGTGGATATAGAATAATCCTCAAAAGAAGACCAGGAAAGAATAATATTAGATGTTGAAGAAAGGTGGAATGTAGACAAAAGGTCACATGATATGTGGATAGAAATGTAACTCACAGAGAAAGTATTAACACCCCAAATGAAACACCACTGCTAATTGTACCCAGAACACTCACAAAAAAATAGCAAAAGGACTGGAGAGATGACTCTACAGGTAACACAGATGCTCTACAAATAACTCAGGTTTGATTCCCAGAACTCAAATGGCTGCTCTCAACCGTGTGCAATTTCAGATACAGGGGATTCAATGCCCTTTTATGGCCTCAACAGGAACTTCATGCATGTGGTATATATTTATGCAAACAAAACACCATATACATAACATAAAAATATACAAATCTTTTTAAAATGTCAAAGTAATTCAACGATGTAAAAGACATCACCTAAAAGTAGACATTACCACACTTGCTTTTTTTTTTTAATTGAATTTGGACTGGGGCAAAGCTCATCAAAACCATAAGTTCAGCATAAAGAACATCTACTAAGGAGCAATGATCACAATCACTGAAGAGCCAAGTATTGGGTGGATCATGAAGAAACTGGGAACTCTCCTACATTTCTAGATGACATAAAAATTGCTGCTAACTGTGGAAAACATGTTCAGTAGTTTAATGTGACTCAGAAACAATGATTCTGGTGGTATACCCCAAAACATAAAAACCACAGAGCTACAATACTGAAAAAAGCCTGGTATTGGCTTAAAAAGAGACAGGAATACCAATGGAACCAAATAGAAGACCTGGATATTGATCCAGACATTTTTGAACAACTGATATTTGAGAAAGAAGCAAAAAATATCAAATGGAAAAAAGAAAACATATTTAACAAATGGTGCTGGCATAACTAGATATCAACATGTATAAGAATGAAAATAGACCCCTAATTAACACCATGCACAAAACTCAAGTCCAAATGATCAAAGACCTCAACATAAAGCCAGCCGCACTGAAGCCTATATGAGAGAAAGTGGGAAGTACACTTGAACGCATTGGCACAGGAGACCACTTCCTAAATATAACCTGAGCACAGACACTGAGAGAAACCATTAACAAATGGAAACTCTTGAAACTGAAAAGCTTCTGTAAAGCAAAGGATATGGCCAACAAGATAAAATGACAGCTTACAGAATGGGAAAAAATCTTAACTAACTCCACATAAGACAGAGGTCTGATCTCCAAAATATAAAAAGAACTCAAGAAATTGGTCATCAAAATAACAAATAATCCAATAAAAATGAAATATAGACCTAAACAGAGAACCCTCCACAGAGGATTCTAAAATGGCTGAAAGACACTGAAGGAAATATTCGACATAATTAGTAATCAGAGAAATGCAAATCAAAACAACTCTGAGATTCCATCTTACACCTGTAAGAATGGTCAAGATTAAAAACACTGATGACAACTTATGCTGGAGAGGTTGTGGGGTAAAGGAACACTTCTGCACTGCTGGTGGGAATGCAAGCTGGTACAACCCCTTTGGATGTCAGTGTGTCTATTTCTCAAAAATGTAGGAAACAACCTTCCTCAAGACCCAGCAAAACTACTTTGGGGTATATGTCAAAAGGATGCTTAAATGTACCACAAGGACATTTGTTCAACTATGTTCATAGCAGCTTCGTTTGTCATAGTTAGAACCTGGAAACAATCAAAATGTTTTTGACCGAAGAATGGAAAAAGAAAAATATGGTACATTCACACAATGGAGTACTACACAGCAGAAAAAAAAGACATCTTGAATTTTGCAGGCAAATGGATACTGCTAGAAAATAACATTTTGAGTGATGTAACACTGACCCAGAAATACAATTATCATAAGTACTCAATAATAGGTGTTTATTAAACATAAAGCAGGGAAAATCAGCCCACAAATCACAATCCCAGAGAACCTGGACAACAATGAGCACTCTAAGAGAGACATAAACAGATCTAATCTACATGGGTATGAAAAGACAAGATTTCCTGAGAAATTTGGAAGAATGAGGACCTTGGAAGAGGGTTGAATATGAGGGAGTAGGCAGGGAGGAAAGCAGAGAAAAATATAGAGCTCAATAAAATCAAAAAAGGGAAAAAACAAAAAAGAAACAAAAAAAGCATATTCACTTTTTTAGATAAATACAATTTACCAAAATTAAGTCAAGACCAGGTGAGCAGTTTAAACAGACCTATAAGTCACAAGGAAATAGAAGCTGTCATCAGAAACCTCCCTACCAAAAAGAGCCCAGGACCAGATGGTTTCAATGCAGAATTCTATCAGATCTTCCAAGTAGAATTAATATCCATACTCCTTAATGTGTTTCACAAATAGAAACAGAAGAGTCATTGCCTAACTCCTTTTATGAAGTTACAGTCACCCTGATACCCAAACCACACAAAGACTTAACCAAGAAAGAGAATTTCAGACCAATCTCACTCACAAACATTGATGCAAAAATGCTCAATAAAATATTCGCAAACAGAATCCAAGAACACATCCAAAAAATTATACATTATGATCAAGTAGGCTTCATCCCAGAGAGGCAGGGCTGGTTCAACATACGAAAATCTATCAACGTAATCCATCATATAAATATACGGAAGGAAAAAAACCAGATGATTATTTCATTAGATGCTGAAAAAGCATTTGACAAAATTGAACACCCCTTTATGATAAAGGTCTTGGAGAGATCAGGAATACAAGGTTCATTCCTAAATATGATAAAGGCAATATACAGCAATCTGATAGCTAATATTAAATTAAATGGAGAGAAACTCAAAGCCATTCCACTAAAATCTGGAACAAGACAAAGGCACAGGAGAGCACTTCCTAGGAAGAACTGTAGTAGCACAGACAATAAGAGCAACAATGAATAAGTGGGACCTCCTGAAACTGAGAAGCTTCTGTAAAGCATAGGACACTGTCATTAAGACCAAAAGGCAACCTATTGCTTGGGATAAGATCTTCACCAACCCCTCATCAGACAAAGATCTGATCTCCAAAATGTACAAAGAACTCAAGAAACTAGACACTAAAACTCTAATTGACCCAATTAAAAAATGGGTACTGAACTGAACAGAGAATTTTCAACAGATGAAATTCAAATGGCCAAAAGACACTTAAGATCATGCTCAACCTCCTTAGTGATCAAGGAAATGCAAATAAAGACAACTTTGAGAAACCGTGTTACACCTGTCAGAATGGTTAAACTCAAAAACACCAATGATAGCCTATGCTGGAGAGGATGTGGAGTGAGGGGAACACTCATCCAGTGTTGGTGGGAAGGCAAACTTGTGCAGTCACTGTGGAAATCAGTGTGGGGGTTTCTCGGGATACTGGGAGTCAACCTACCTCAGGACCCAGCAATTCCACTCTTGGGAATATACCCAAGAGATGCCCTATAATACTACAAAAACATTTGTTCAACTATGTTCATAGCTGCACTATTTGTAATAGCCAGTACCTGGAAACAACCTAGGTGCCCTTCAATAGAAGAATGGTTAAAGAAGGTGTGGAACATATACACATTAGAGTTTTACTCGGCGATAAAAAACAATGGCATCTTGAATTTTGCATGCAAATGAATGGAAATAGAAAATGCTTTACTGAGTGAGATATCCCAGATGCAAAAAGAGGAATATGGTATGTACTCACTCATAAATGGATTCTAGCCATAATTTAAGAACTTCGAGCCTATAATTTGTGATTCTAGAAAAGCTTAATAAGAAGGTGAACCTAAAGAAAATCATATAGTTATTCTCATGGATATTAGAAATAGACAGGATTTTCAGGCAAAACATGGGTGCACAGGGTTGGGGGTGGGGGTGGATGTAAGTGGAGATGGGTAGAGACAGGGGAGAATGGGAGGATTGGGGAAAACTTGGGGGAATGGGATGGGTGGGATGGAGGAAGGGTGAATATGGGAGCAGGGAAGTAAATATCTTAATTAGGGGAGCCATTTTAGGGTTTGCTAGGGACTTATCTCTAGAGGGGTTTCCAGGTCCAAGGAGAGATCCCCAGATTGTTCCTTGGGCAGCAGAGGAGAGGGTGCCTGAACTGGTATTGTCCCATAGCCACACTGATGAACATTTTGCATATCACCATTGAACCTTCATCGGGCAATGGATGGAGATACAGAGACCCACCTTTGAGCACTGGACTTAGCTCCCAAGGTCCAAATGAGGAGCAGAAGGAGGGAGAACATGAAGGAAGTCAGGACACGAGGGGTGCGTCCACCCACTGAGCCATTGGGACTGATCTCATGGGAGCTCACCAAGGCCAGCTGGACTGGGAGTGTTGGAGCATGTGATCATAATGGACACTCTGAACGTGGCTGGCAATGAAGGCTGACTGAGAAGGCAAGGACAGTGGCTCTGGATTTTTATTCTATTACATGGACTGACCTTGTGGGAGCCTGGCTTGTTTGGATGCTCACCTTTATAGATCTGGATGGAGGGAGGAGGACCTTGGACTTCCCATGGGGCAGGGAACCCAGACTGCTCTTAGGACTAGAGAGGGAGGGACAGGTGCGGAGGGGGAGGTGGGGAGGAGGAGAGAAAAGGGAGGGGGGAGGAGGTGGAAATTATTAATAAATAAAAAAGAAAAAATATATTCAAACAGAAACTTGTAAGCAAATTGTCATAGCAGCAAATTTCATGGCAAACATGGAATACCAACATCACTTTCCATCACAACAGATATTAAATATTATTTATTAATAAACACAGGAGACAGTGACTCATGCTTAAATTTGTAGTGTGCAAAATGAGAGAGGCCAGTCACAGAAATGACAGTCTGTGATCACAGTGATGTTAAGTGCTGAGCCCTACATGGAGCATCTGTATCAACACTTCCTCCACTCCAGGCTCAAGGAACGTCACGAAAAAGGGTGTGAAAATAAAGTAAGGGCCAGAGAGGGGTGGTGTGAAATGCCATCTCAAAGCCATGGCATGGATGAATCTTGAACTGACTACTTGCATGAAATTGCGCAAATAATACATGTGAGTATCCTAGCAGGCAACACTGACTGGACTCACTGGGTGACCAAAAAAAATGGGAAATAAATTGGAAGAAAGATGTGTTTTGGTGTCTGTGGGAATAGAGAGGTGAAAATGAGGGGAGAATATAATGAAGATAGATTGTATATCTATGTTATATTGTCAAAGGAAAATAAATGAATTCTAAAACAAAGCCAGGAATGGTGGCACAACCCTCTAATCACAGCACTCAGGAGGCAGAGGCAGGGCATCCCTGTGCATTCAAGACCAGTCTAGTCTACACAACAACTTTCAGTCCAGCTACAGCAACATAGTGAGACCCTGTCTAAAAGAAAAATGAAGTTGTAAAACAAGAGTAATGGAATACATGTCTTTGAAAGCACTAAAAATATTGGATTGTGCCTTTAAGGGGGTGAATTCTATTCCAATAGAACTGTTAGCTGTAGAGAGTGTGGAAGAGAAAGGCAGAACTGACAATCATGGCCACACACAAGATCAGTGGGTCAAAAGACAGATGAAACATCATACATACGTATTGAAAAGAAAAACGGGTGAAAAAAATCTATTTTTAAGAAATCCTTGGCCTTTTCCACAAAAGGGTCCTTTGGATTGTTGAGGGAATCGACGTTCACACCAAATGCCACGCTTGTGATCACATCCATGCTGTAGGCCCCAAACACTCTGAGGAGAGAGAAAGACATGGGATTTAACACATGCAGCAAGAAGTATGAAATATTCACATTCTTGGTCAAGACAGGATGAACAACCTTACCTCAGTAGTGACCAAGCACCTTCTCCTCCTACCCACCCTCTACCCTTGTGAGCTGGGCACTCTCGTGTTTCTTTCTCAAATGTACATTTGTCATCTAGTGTTGAAAAAGGAACAAGAAGTAGCTGGACATGTGAGACACACAGAAGGATGACCCTTCTGTCCCCGCTGCCCTTCCTCTCCCTGAACTACAGTGGATGTACCACTACTCACTTTTTCATGTTGATAGGCTTGCCTTTCTCTGCCTCTCTTCTCAAGTATGTTACCAAAGTATCTCCATACTCTTCAATTATGGGGAACATCTAAGCACAAAACACAAGGCATGCATGGTTTGTTAGGTGTGGAGACTCAAGACACACACACATTTCAACTAACAGTCCATTTAGTCACCTCTTTGAGTTTTCCACTGCTGAAGGTGGGAGACAGCAAGGCTCGAATTCTCTTCCACTCCTCATCCTTAGCTAGGAAGATGGCATTACTCATCCTACCCAGTGGGCCCATATCCTGAGTCCAAAAAAAATACAAATATTTACTCTTTGTAAGAACAAAATTTTCCATGGTTGCAAAAGTGCTAAATGGATATTGCTGTATAACAACTAGTTACTGTTTGTTATGGATCAAGCCTTATGCTAGATGCAAAAATAGTCAGAATTTACTCACATCCTATAAGAAATCAGGTGATCACTGAGGTAACTTCCTGTTAATATTTCTAACCTTTATATTCCATGATCCTTCTAAACATAAATCTCTCTGTGGTTGGGAAATTGTTTCCAGAGGTGGGAGTAAAGATGGGAACAAGAATTTTAGTAGATTCTCCAGAGCTATGCAGATGGCAAATGGCTTGGTGATAGGATAGCAAGTTAACTCTGCATCAGACAAGTTCACCAGCACAGTATTTAAATGAGTTTTTTGATATGGCGTGTGTGTGTGTTTGTGTGTATGAGTGTGTGTGTGTGTGTCTGTGTCTATGTCTGTGTCTTTGTGTGTAGGTTAGAGTGCAGTGTGCATGCTCATTAGGAGACCAGAGGTCTGCCTTGTTTCTTTATAACTCTCTACTGTACTTTTTGAGTCAGAGTCTCTCAATGAATCTAGAACATTCTAGCTTGGCTAGAGTAGAAAGACAACAAGCCCTAGAGCCTAAATATTTCCAAACACAGTTCTGAAATGTATGTTCAGATTTTATTTGAGGCAAAGATCCAAACTTTCGTCTTTTACCCACTGAGCCATTCCCCTAGCCTGAGACACTTAAAGAATTTTATTTTTGTGTTTTCAAGGTGTATTTTAATATTTTATACATGTCTTTCTCTATGTGTGTGAACGAACGTATACACATGTGTGTGCAGTGTAGTCAGAGGCTGAAGAAGCAAGTTGAAGCTCCTACATCAGGAGTTACAAGTACTTCTGAGCCCCTTTATATGGATGTATTCAACCAAGTCCTCATCCTCTTTCAGAACTTTCAGCCATTAAGTCATCTCTCTAAACCCTGATTTGTTTAGTTTGTGGTTGTTTTTTTTTATTTAGAAATAATACTGTAGAAATTTCTTTTTGTAAGTCTTTATGAAGTGATAAAAGATTAAATATAATTCCACTTCCCTGGTGGAACTTCCACAATTATATTTATACAATGTGCAGTCTCCCAACTGTCCTTATATTAAAACACTCAGAACATTAGGAAGAAGTGAAAATGGCTTCCCTTGATGAAGGGCAGCTGAAAACTAGCCCTTCAGCCAACTTCACCAGATGATCAAAGGCTGAATGATGGTCTAAGAGATGGCTCAGTAGGTAGATGTGCTTGCTGCTAAGCCCAACAACCTGAGTTCAATCCCTAGGACCTAAGGCAATGAGAGAACCAATAGATTTCCCCAGACAGAACAGTGGATAGTCATGGTTTAAAAGAGAGAGAGAGAGAGAAAGAGACACACACAGAGAGAGAACATTGAGCTAAGTATCATATCTCACATTAAATTAACATAAATAAAGCTTTAGATTTGAGAGCTAATTTCAAAAGCATATAATTTGTACACAAGCAGATCCACACAGAAGGGCCAGGTGAATAATTGTCAGACTTGACCCTGACCACACCATCCAGTGAAAAGAGAAATGGATATACAAAGTGAAGAGAGAAAGGCAGGCTGTACATGGGAGCTAAGGGGCTACCAAGAGGAAATTACAGGTAAAGAAACAGCTCTCTTTTCTGAGTGTTTGTCATCACACAAACCTAGATCTGTGATAAACTGTACTGATATACAGAGACGTAAGAAAGAACCCATGAAACAGAAATATGAACACAATGTAGATGACAAGAGTGTCCATCTACAACTGGATCACAATAATTTAGTAAATTTACACTTCCTCATTAGTAAATTGACTACCTAGACCCTGCTTGCATATTATTAAGGAGGCCATTGTGAATATATATTTATTTCATTCATTCAGTTAAAGAAGTACCCAGGTCATGGTGTTGTACACCTTTATATCAGCACTCAGGAGACAGAAGAAGGCAGATCTCTGTGAGTTTGAGACCAGCCTTGTCTACAAAGTGAATTCCAGGATAGTCAAGTTTATATCAGAAACCCTGTCTTGAAAGAGACAAAAAAAGGTTCCACAAACCCAGTCTCATTAGACAGCGCTGGTACATGTCTTTAAATACAGTACTTGGAATGCAGAGGTAGGTAGAAGCAGGCAGAACACTGAGTTGGGGAAAACATTGATCATAGAATAGGTTTCAGGAAAGTTGGTGCTACACAGAGAAAAGCTGTCTCCAAAATCTCAATAAGTAAAATATAAAGGGGGTAGCTTGTGTGATGGCACAGTGGTTAAAGGTGCTTGCTGCACTTTTGGGGGAGCCAGGTTCAGTTCTCAGCACCTATGTCAGGCTGATCACAAGTGCTTGAAACAGCAGATAAAAGGGATCAGCTCATATCTCATATACTCTTCTGGCCTCCACAGGAACCTACACACTTATGGCATTGAGCCATATAGACACACATACATACACATCAATAAACTCAGCAAAAAATGAATCTTTCATTCCTTTAATTAAAAAAGGAAATTACCCGTCGGTTTGTGAAGACAGAATAGCATTCCTTTACAAGAACTTTCTTGATCATGTTTGGGTCTGCAAAGATAAACAGGGGTGTTGGACCATCAAGCAACCTGTATGGAAAAAATAACTAATTAACCTATAGTGATATTTTATTTATGTTTTGTAGATAAGCTTGTCTGAAGACCAGAAGATAAAACTAATCTACTATAGGTGAGGCAGTGGTGTTACACACCTTTAATCTCAGGATGTGTGAGACAGAGGCAGATGGATCTCTGGTGAGTTCAAGGCCACACTGGGCTATACAAGATCAATGCAGAAACATATCCAGCTATGGGGTAATATGAGGGCCTGTTTGTTGGGGTTTCTGTCCTGCCCAGTCCAACAGACGGTAAGCCTCAAAGGAAATCATAAAGAGGTATACATAAATTATAAACTGATTGTCCCATTAGGTCAGGCTTCTTATTAACTCTTGTAACTTATATTAACCCATTATTCTTATCTACATTAGCCACATGGCTCAGTACTTTTTCAATGGGGTAGATCAGATCTTAATTCCTCAGTGTCGAAAAAGGACTGGGGAGGTAACTTCCCTTTTCCTAGAATTATCCTGTTCTCCTTGCCTCAGCTCTACTTCATGGCGGGTGGTCCTGCCTATACTTCCTGCCTGGCTACTGGTGAATTAGTGTTTATTTAAAACATAATTGATAGAATATAGAATTGCCTCATACCACAATGGTGGCTCACACCTTTAATTTCAGCCCTAGAGAAAAATATAAACTGGGATGAGACAAAAATTCCTTCTCTTTCAGTCTGAGAATTTCGTAGAGTTAAGAATTCTTTAGTGGCCTTGTTCCTTTGCTTTTCCTATCTTCAGATTAAGCCCAATATCTGTCTCTGGATTTTTATCATTCATGCCACATTTGTTATCCAATGTTTGGAATACAAAGTCAAACATAATAAAAATCCATTTGCCTGAGGATTTTTAGTCCTGTGGGATAATGCTCTGGTACAGTAAAAATTTGTTACTCATAGTGGTTTAATAAAATGCTGATTGACCAGTAGCAAATAGTCAGGAAGCAAAGCTGGGACAAACAGACTAGGAGAATTCTGGGAAGATGAAAGGCAGAGAATCAGTCACAAATCAGATGCAGAGGAAGCAAGATGAGAATGCTTTACAAAGAAAAGATACTAAGCAATGTGGCTAAATAAAGACAAGAATTAATAATAAGCCTAAGCTAATAGGTAAACAGTTCATAATTAATATTAGCCTCCATGTGTTTCTTTGGGACTGAACAGCTCCAGGATCAGGTGAGACAGAAACTTTCCTCTACATTAAACCAAGCCAGGTTCTGAGTGGTAGCCTCAAATCTAGACATTGATTCTCACTTTATATGACCCTCACTGGTTATAGCTATACACATTCTCAAAGGAGATCCCAGTCTAACATGAGGAGTCTGATCATTGATACAGTGGAAGCTTTGTAAAATAACAGGTATGTCATTCAAGACAAAATGAGTCACTTAAAAAAAATTTCTGAAAGACATCATAATTAGAAATCACAACTGAAATATTTAAGTCTACATGTGAATATATGACTGTTGCCTATACCATTTTCTATGATTTTACATATTTAAATATGGCAAGGGACTGGAGAGATGGAACCTCAATTAAGAGCACATATTGTTCTTGTAAAGGACCTGAGTTTGGCTGCTAGGACACATGTTGGTCATCTCACACCCACCTGTAACTCCAGCTCCAGGCTGATAATGCCTCTGGCCTTCATGATAATCAGCACTCATGTGCAGACACACACATGTGCACACACACATACACACACACACACACACACATATAAAATAAAAACAATAGAAATAGATGTTAAACAATAAAATATTCAACTAAAATTCATAATTAAATCCTTAAGATATAACATTAAAGCTAATATAACATATATTATGGTAGAAACTAATCCTTTACATTAAAACTTGAAATGAAAACAATCATTAAAAATAATAAAATATTTCCGTATCTGGGCTTGGTATACAGCTCAGTGGTAGAAAGATTGCCTAGAGTGAACCAGGCCCTGGTTTTGATACATTGAGCTTTTAAACAAATGAGATAACAGAATTTAAATGAGGCTCCTTTACCAACTTCTCAAAGACTTAGATAACAAAGAAGTGAGGGCAGAAAGACCATTAGAGCCAGGACGAGGAGAGGAGAGCTGCAATGCTGTCTTCCGTATTCTGGAATTCCCTGCAGATAGAACTACCTCTGCAACCCCTGTGGTTGTCAACATAACTACAGGAAGTTCAAGGTCTTGCACCTGTCTGAGGACTTGCACACAGCTAGCTCCTGTGGTGGGAAATGAAAATGGCCCAATCAACACCAGTACAATCCCTGGGATCTATAAGGCATAGTGAAAGAACTGAGTGCTACAAGTTGTCTTCTGATCTTTACATGTACTCCATGGGACATATGTACCTCTGTGATAAATGAAAAATTATAATAAAAAATCAAAAAGAAATAGTTGCTTTGGGAAGGCAAGAAGTCTATGTCACTGGTAGACCATTAGTAAATTCTTCACGGGCTTCTCAATAGCCTCTCAATCACTCATGTTTCTGTAAGTCTGTCCAGTTAAATTCATTGGTACACACACAAAACTAATAAAAATGTAAGAGAAATATTACATATAAAAACTATATTGGGTTCAGGTATGATACACACCCTTAATTCTAGCACTTGGAAAGCAGAAGGAGGTGGATCTCTGATTTCAAGACAAGCCTGGTCTACATAACGTGTGACAGAACAGTCAGGGCTGCATAAAGAGATTCACTTTTTAAAAAAGCAACAAATGAATAAACAAAAAAGATATTAGGCCAATAAAAAGTTTAAAAATTACTATCAAGTGTTGACAAGCAATAATATTGCAAGGAGATATTCACACCGGGCCATTGGACAGACAGGAAACCTAATATTGGCACTGAATGGCATGGTATTTATTGGGTGTGCATCTCCACAGATCTCTGTGTTACGGATGGATGAGAAGAGATGAAGAGGCAGAAAGAGCCAGAGGCTCCTCCCACTTGTTTCTGTCTGATAGCATACTGATGACACCTACTCCAAAGCTCTAACCAAACTCCAGCATCAGCAATAGGGAAGAGCTCCTGCTGCTGAATCAGCCACTTTACAGAACCATTAAGGTCATAGACCCAAGGATGAGCACTTTGTTTATTATATACATAGGATTTACAAAGTCAGTTCAATAAGACAGGACATAGTGATATACAATACTATCAAAATCCTGGCAGGCGGTAGTGATACACACACTTTTAATTCCAGAACTCAGGAGGCAGAGGCAGTTGGATCTCTGTGAGTTGGAGGCCACCCTGGCCTTATGGAGCTTGTTTCTGAATAGCCAGGGCTGATACACACAGAAACCCTGTCTTTGAAAAAACAAAATCTTGGAGAGGGCTGATAAGATGGTTCAGCAGGAAAAAAAAAGCACTTGTACCATGCTTGTTCACCTGAGTTCAATATGCTGGAAGCAGAAGACCAACTACCACAAATTTCCTCTGAACTACATGTGTACACCATGCTAAATGTCCCTGCCCTCAAGGAAAATAAAATATAACAAACAATAAGAAAAGATGTTTATTTGCAAGAGAATTTTTTAATGGTAAGCATAAAAATATAACAAGTGCTTAGCTATATACTGCCATACCTGCTGTCAAGGGACATGCTAAAGTCAACACTAAGTAAGTAGTAAGCACTTCTATGAGGAAATGAGTGAATGTGACAAAGAGAAGGTATCACACCCTTGTGTTACCAGGTTGGCCCCAAACTCATGATCTTCCTTTCTCTAACTCCTTCAGCAAGTCCTCCCAGCATGCTCCACCAATGCTGGTGATATCACACCTTTATCAGAACAGATTAGAGGGACATAAAACAGTGCATTTCATGTAATGAAAAGGAAATTTCAGAAGAGAAAAAAAAATAAGATGCTGACACTGGATAAAATACAAGGCTCTGCCAGGTGTTGTAGCCCATGTCTTTAATTCCAGCACTCAGAAGCAATGGCAGGTAGATATATGTTACTTTGAGGCCAATCTGGTCTACAAAATGACTTCCAGAACAGCCAGGACTGTTACAGAGAAACTCAGTCTCAATAAATAAATTAACACACACACACACACACACACAAAGTTCAGAGTCTCAAATCCTGTCCAAACTCCATAGAATATAATGTTCTCAAGATAATCAGACCTGTGAACCATGGCACTTATGACACACATTGTAACCTTTACAACAGAGAAGTCATTACTGTAATTCTCAGCTCGCATTGTCATTGAATAAGTAGAGTATATCCTCCTAAAAGAATGAACTCAGGTAACTATCTAGAATACTTACCCCCATATTTTCCCATACTTTTTATAACACTCAACATCGAATTTCCATATACCCTGAAAAGAAAAAGAGCATGAATTCCATTATTGTTCTGTATGTATCAACCTTTCTGTAACCAGGGAACCAAACCCTCAAATCCTATGAAACAAGATTTACCGTTTCTGAGAGAGAAAAGTTGTTCAGTTATATGTAGTGGCACCAGAAAAATGGCTCATCAGGAAAAAGCAGAATGATAGGGCAGGATACCTGACACCTTCTGTAGTCTATGTAAACACACTCATAGATATATACATGTGCACAGCACCAGAAACATACCACACACAAAATAATGATTTTGATTATGAATATAATAATAATAATAATAAATTGTTTTAAAGAATGTGATAGTTAAGTATAGAAAATTAAGGACGAAAACATGAGCAGACAACAGTACTGCCTTTGACACTCACTCTCTGGATGTGAACTTAGAAATGTCTGCTGAGGACTGATCATGGGTCAGGTTTGTCTCAAAAGATCCACCTAGACTTAAATGTTGCACATGACAGTCTCATCATTAATAATTTGATTAAACAATCCTTTTCACAGTGGTTTTGCCATTAATATCTTTCAATGAAAATACAAAGCACATTGTGTAGTCATGTGTGTAAGGTTACTGACAGCCACCATCCTGTCTCAGGTTTTCACACACTTGCTGCTCATACTCATGCACAGGCTGCTGTCTATAAAGGAAGAGAAAAAGATATAGGCCCATGTCAGTGATAGAGCACTTGTTGGCATGTCTAAAGCCCTGGATCCCATTCTCAGCACCACAAACCAAAACAGAATAGAAAACCTGTCATTGGGGCTGGATATGTGACTCTGCAGTTAAGAGCATTTGCTGATATTCCCAAGTGTCCAAGTTCTGTCCAGAGAACCCACAGAACTCACACCCAACACCTCACAATGATTTGTATCTCTGACACCAGTGAATCCTGCATCCTCTTTTGGCTGCTGTATGTACTGCACTTATGTGCATAAACCCACATGCAGATACTCATATATACAAATAGAGTCCTTCTAAAAGAAGCAATCACTTCCTAAAGGAAGATCCATAAAGAAACTATTATAATTCTCAAGACCCTCTCAACCAGCCGTAAAGAGTAAATGGTGAGGCTTCATATAGAAATAGCTTCAAGTTTCCATGATTGCAGAGAATCCAAGCACATGAAAATTTCCCCCAAAAAATGTGTATGTAGGTCTGTGTTATGCTGATGTTTCATAAATATTCAGCAAAGTAAAAATGTTGCTCATGATCTGGAAAATTTTAATCAATGCATCCAGGTAGATGTCCTAGAAGCTGGAAAAGCCCTCAATATTTATTTCAAATAAGTACAGAAGTGCCTTCCCAGAATCTTCATTAGGTAAGAAACAACTTCCTTTTGCTCACCAAGTTTGAGCATCATGTCCTGAATATCAAGAATAAATGGGCTGGAAATCTGTGCATTTCACCTAAGGCAAACTTAAGGCTCAATAAAGTGACATCAAGGCTGGTGAGATGGCTACAAATGAAAAAGCATTTGTTACCAACTCTGACAACCTGAGATTCATCCCTACGACTCATATGGTGGAAAAAGAAAACTGACCTCCATAAATTGTCCCTTGACCTACATACGCATGCTGTAATACATATACACTTATTCCCAAATTAATATATATTAGGGGAAGTTGACAATGGGAACTGTGAAGATGATCAGTGGGAGAAATATCATAAAAGTTAGAGATAGGATTCCCAGTCTCTGTGTAAATGCCAGGCAGGGGTTAAAGTCCTCCAGTATCCCCACTTGCAGGAGGCAGATTCAAAGGAGCCCAGGAGGAAGCCGGCCAGCTAAACTAATGATGTCAGAGAGAGCTGGGTTTCTAAGAGATCTTGCTTCAAAGTATAAAGTGAAGAACAATCAAGAAGATACCCAACACCAACCTCTGACCTCAATATGCACACACATATATCTATGCACATGCATCTACACACACCTGAGCACTATTTCATAGGCAAATGCAAACATATACACAATAAAAACATATACACAAACATTTGATAGTTTTAACTTAGCAATTAGTCTCCAAGGAACCATTGGACATTCTCTAGTATCATGATAACACACAGCATAAGGGCATAAAATCTGAGAGCTTGCTCCCAAGGAGAATTTAATAGAACAAAACCATTATTGACTACAGGAATCAATAGTCAACTGAGAGACTGAGTTAGAGTCAGAGACCACTGAGGGTCCAGAAGTGAATCTGAGACTTTCAAGGAAGTAGACTTAAGCCAGGACCCAGATGAGTCTGGGCATGAGTCTAGGACCTCCCAGGAACTAGGCCTGAGCCAGGATCTCTGCTAGTCTGGGCATGAGTGAACCTGGGACCTTTGAGGGAATAGGTAGAAAATAGAGATCTTATGGAGCTAGGTGTGAGTCTGGGTACTCTGAGGGAGTAGGCCTGAAAATTGGTCTATGACATCAAAGGTAATAGGCAGGAACCTGGAACGTCTGCAGGTCGAAGCATGAGTCTGGGATCGCTGAGGGAGTTAGCAGTTCCTCTGCAGATCTGGGAACACACATGCCTGGGACCTCTGAGGCAGTAGACAAGAGCCATAAACATTTCCAGGTCCTACTCCAAACCAGGGACTTCTGCAGGAGGAGTTGAGGACCAGGATTTATCAAAACATTGGAAAGCCAACTACCTAGGCCAAAGTAGGCCTGAGATAGTAAACTCCAAAGGGGCAGAGCAAAGCACAGAAGAGCTGAAACATCTCCAGGAACACAGAGTGACCAATGGGGTAACTAGAATTGTGACACTGACTCTACCACGGGGAACAACCATCTGAGCTTTGGATTCACTAACACCTAGAAGATTTTTCAACAAAATCTCAGACAAAACCAACCATACCTATTAGAGAAAAAGATGAATGGAAAAGGTAAGAACATATGCAACATTGAAAAGAACAACACAACAGCAGTAGAAATTGAAGACCCTGCAACAGGAAGACCTGAACAACCAAATATGTATGAAGCAGAAGAAAATGACCTAAAAAACGACTTCAAGAGAATGTCTGAAACTTTAATAAAGGAAATGAGACATTCTCTTAAAGAAATGGAGGGGAAAAAATGGAAGACATCAGCAAATCACTTAAAGAAAACCAAGAAAAAGAAATAAAACATATGAAAGAAATTATTCAGGACATGAATACTGAAATAAAGACAATAAAGAAATCACAAACCGAAGCAATTATAGAAACAAAAATCATGAGAAAACAATCAGGAACCACAAACACAAGCATGAACAGAGGAATACAAGAGATGAAAGAGAGAATCTCAAGTGCTGAAGATATAATACAGAAAATAGACTCATCAGGTAAAGAAAACATTAAATCTAACAAGAGCTTAACCCCAAATACCCAGGAAATATGGGACACCAGGAAAAGACCAAATCTGAAGATTTGGGTATAGAAGAAGGAGAAGAAGTTCAACTCCAAAGCACAGAAAATATATTTAACAAAATCATAGAAGAAAACACACCCTACCTAAGGAAAGATATGAAATTACAAAAAGCTAACAGAACACCAAATAGACTGGAACCAAATAAAACGTGCTCTCATCACATAATAATCAAAATACTAAGCATACAGAGTAAAGAAATAATATTAAGAGCTGTAAATGTAAAATGCTAAGTAACATATAAAGGTTGACCTATCAGAATTACAACTGACTTCTCATTGGAAAGAATGAAAGTCATGGTCAAGCATTATGTAGACATTAAGAGACCAGGGATGCCAGCCCAGACTACTATGCCCAGCAAAACTGTCAATCACCATAGAAGGACAAAACAAAATATTCAATGACAAACCAGATTTAACTAATACCTAATAACAAATCCAGTCCTATACAAAATGCTAGAAGGAAAATTCCATCCCAGGGAAGTTGGTTATACCAACAAAAACACAGACAATTGATGGTCTCATAGCAGCAAATCCCAAAGAAGGGAAAATGCACAAATTAACACCAACAATGAAAACTAAATAAACAGTAGGTAGCGATTACTGGTCATTAATAGCCCTTAATGTAAATGGTTTCAACTCACCTATAAAAAGGCACAGGTTAACAGACTGGATACAAAAACAGTATCCACCCTTCTTCTGCATAAAAGAAATACATCACAATTTCAAAGATACACATCATCTCGGAGTAAAGGGTTGGGAAAAATATACAAATCAAATGGACATAAGAAATGAGTGGCTGTAGCTATCCTAATATTTAACAAAATAGACTTCAGGCTAAAATCAGTAAAAAGAGACAAAGAAGGTCACAGGAAAACGACATCAAGAGAAAATTTCAATATTGAACATCTATGCCCCAAATACGAGGGCACCCTTCATATATGAAAGAAATACTTCTAAAGCTTAAGTCATACATTAAACCCCACACACTAATAGTGAGAAACTTCAACACTCCTCTCTCACCACTGGACAGGTCAATCGGACAATAAAAAATGAACACAGAAATAAGAGAAATAACAAGTGTTATGACTCAAATGGATTTAACAGACATTTATAGAATATTCCATCCAAACAGAAAAGAATATACCTTCTTCTCAGAACCTCATGAAACCTTCTCAAACACAGACCACATACTCGGTAACAAAACAAGCCTCAACAAATGCAAAAAAAAAAATGGAATAACCCAATGTAAATTATTGGATCACCATGGTCTAAAAGTAGAAGTCAACAGCTGCTACATCCACGGCTGTCATGCCAGTGTAGCAGAAATGCTGCCTGGGTAGGCAGGTGTTGCCGAGGATTGGGATCTGTGCTTCTCGGAGCTGTTTGTTCCAGGCAGTCCCTTGGCAATCAGTTGTGGTGTAATGCCACCTGACTTGCCATTTGTACTGACTCGACTTCGCTGACCTTGGAGCCATAATGCGTGTCTTTTCCTTTGTCTATGTGTTCTTTATGATCCGTGCATATTGCTAACAGATCAGACTATTCCAGGCAGTTGCGGATACAAACAAGACTGCTGAGAACATTTTTGAATTCTGCCCCATCATTCATTAAAGCCTCAAAAGAAGTAGCCAGTTCTGGGAATTGGCAGGATCATCATTAGGATAATTCCTTGATGATGTGGAATAAAAGGAGTTAATTTTACTAGGAAAAACCTTAGAAGTCTTCTACAGAAAAACAGTAATAGACATTTACTGCAATTCAACAGGAGGCCTATGCAGCCTTCCTTATGGCCAGAAAACCTAGACTGATAACAACACCTGAGCATCAGGAAGGGAGGAGAGTTGAGATCAGGTCTTAGAAATTTCCTAGCAGAAAGTTTTCCCAGAAAGATAGTAGCCTTCTTCTTTCCCACCCAGGCGCACAACGTCACCTACTGATGCCTCAGACCAGCTGGCCACCTGGTGTAAGGTGATAAAGAAGACCTAACTCAAGAACAGTGGTCTCTCTAATAACAAGAAAAAAGGGCTGACTTAACGGAATATGAGGGAGCAAAAGTCCTTGTACCCATGCCAAAGCATCTTCAAAGATTCTCTTTGTAAAACTGTTTTGTGCTGATCTTTTCTATTTTATAGTCTGATGATGTATGCCTTTACCAAGTTCTTTGTTTGATTAAGATATAAAAACCTTACACTGAAAGAATAAACTTGCAGCAGTATGTCTCATTAAGAGTGACTATCCGTCAATTTCCTCACCGTATCCTGATTTCTACTGTGCCTTCGCCCTGATTCCCCACGGTCTGAGTGGCTCCCCTGAGCCGGTCCGTGGCAAACAGCAATACCAATTCCAGGAAACCCACAAACACATGGAAATTAAACAATGCTCTCTTGAATCATCAATGGGTCAAGTAAGAAATAAAGGGAGAAATAAAATACTTCCTAAAATTCAATGAAAATGATGACACAACATACCCAAATTTATGGGACACAATGAAAGCGGTGTTAAAAGGAAAGTTCATAGCACTAAATGCTTACATAAAGAAGGTGGAAAAATCCCATACTAGTGAATTAAAAGAACATTTGAAAACTTTAGAACAAAAAGGAATCAATACTCACCTTGTAGTAATTGAGCATGGTTCCTAAAAATGGCAGAGGTTTGGGCCCAGGAATTCCCTGTTTCTTAAAAATGTCATGGTTTTGGGTCCCCAATCTATAAGAGAAACAGAAAACCTTGTGATTACACATACAGAAGAGAGGAGATAAACATGACCAAAACATGAAACCAACCAACAACTTGGCTGACCCTCCATCTCTCAGAGAGGTTAAAGGAAAGGTGAGTGGCGCAGTGTGCATGGGAGCCCGTGGTTTGTACTTGTTTGTTTTGAGTTATTGTGGATCTAGATGTAACTTGAAGGTCAATCCAGGTCATGCCAAGTGTAAATCTTATCACCTCAGCAAGCTGACTCTATGTGGTGGTGTCCTGAGCAGAGCTGCATAATGTCAATATGAACTTGAAGAGTTTGTACCACTGGGGCTATACCTCAGTACTGGAGTGCTTGGCTAGCACATATAGGCACTCATTTGATGCTTATTTAGCCAAAAATAAAAATGTACAATGAACTCAGCTCAGCTTTCAGTTCATTTCTGTCCTCATAGCTGTCCACACAGTAAAGGCTCTTGTCTGCCAAGTTTTTTGTTATTCTGAGTTTGGCTAGCAAGACTCACATGATAGGAGAGAAATGACTCCCCCAAAGTTTTCTCCTGACTTACACACACACACACACACACACACACACACACACACACACACACACACACACATGCAGGGTCCCTCTGTAGAGCCTGACGAAGAATTGACTTAGCAGGGAGTTGAGTCAAGCAGGAACTTGTTTATTTCCTTACAGCATGCAACTTATAGAGCAAAACCCCACTAATTCCAGGAGAATAGAAAGGGAATTAATCAATCACATCAGCAGTCACATCCTTATGAGCCATGGCTCCTATAGCCCCTAATGGAGATCACAAGGGCATAAGGCATTTTATGTCATCTTACCCCATATTTAACTACAATTACCCTCTTTGTAAATAAGTCAGGTCTCCTCCCAGCTTGCGCCCCTTCAACACCATCTTGGCTGGGAATATTTTTCATGGGCTCTCTAACATCACTGTTTTTTAATAGCTCTTACACTTTTGATGTAGATGTCACGCTCTTGGCGCAGCTGCCACATTTTTGGTGTAACCGTGTCTTTTTCTGTCACTGTTTTTGGTGCTAACTTGGCCTATCTGGCCTTCTACATGCCCGATTCACCCCCCACACACACACACACACACTGTCTCATGTGCTGGCGCTAGCCCCAATAAATAAGAACATATTAATTCATAGTGTTTTTACAAGAGTTAACTTCAACTTCTGCTATCACTTTTTAAAATTGCATCCTAGTGCTTGTGGAAGACATAAGATCCTCCAAAACTGTAGTTTCAGATGATTGTAAGCCACATGTGGATGGCAGGATTCAAACATGTGTCCTCCAAAAGAGCAATCAGTACTCTTAACCACTGAGCCATCTCTTCTAGCTCCACTTCCTATGTCACTTTTGACCTTCCAGTCAATACCAGAATGCAGGTCTGAATATAACCCCAATCCCAAGGACACACTGGGAGAGGGATGTTGGTGGTTGCTCACCGGTATAGGAAAATAAAGCTGGTTACCAGGAGGACCCAGATTTCCAGTGAGAGAGCTGAAGTCAGGTCCATCACTGCTTGTCTGTCAGCAATGTTCCCCTCTGTGTTCTCCCTCCAGCAGTGCGTGCTGTCCTTTGCAGAGCTTCCCTTCTGCTCTGTTTTGCTAAAGAGTTCCCAGCCTGTGATATTTATACCCTTGTAGGATGGGTAGAGTCAGGGCTCCAGCCAGTAGATGGCTAACATCTGCATCATCTGGACTTTGATATTCTCTTAGCCTTGACAAACCATAAAGTTCATGTAGAGCATATTTTGATGTTCTGTGATTTAATATTTAGGGAAGAATTAGTAAACAATGTTGTAATTTCAGGAAGACCAAAGGTTCTTCATTTTATCAAAATTTCAAGCAAATTTATTGACATGAAATGCCCTTTCACCAAGGCTGACTCCATTCAAAAATACATGAAATAAAGCTGACATTTTGCAATCTGTGTGCAGATATTCACATGTCTTTGTCTTAACTTGAAAAATATTTTGTCATGTGTGTGTGCACATGTGTCTGTGTGTTTGTGTAAGTTATTAGGCCATAAAATTTATTAATTAAAAATAAGTGCAGAATGGTACTCTTGGTTGGGAATGTTTCTCAATTTTGAAAGTTCTTACCTAGTACTCACAAAGCCCTAAACTGGATCATCAACACCACAGAACAGGGCCTTGCACTTCGGAGGTAGAGACAGGAAGATCAGAAGTTCAAAACAAAGTTGTCTTCATAGCAAGTTTAAGATAGCTAGCGTGGGCTACAATATGACACCCTGTATTTTAAAAAATATACACAACTCTTCAATAAAGTAATCAGTAAATAGAGACAGAATTCATGGTCATGGTACTATTTTGAATTTTTTTATTAAATGTACTTTGTGAGTGTGTCTGGCATTTGAATACAAAGTATCATATACACTATATATTTATTTTTATACTTGTATATTTTAATACACAGTATTGTATCTACATGTTCTCTATATTATTTCATTTTATGGACATAAACAACACAAATGTTTCTGGTGATGTAAATCGGTGATAGAGCAGATGAGCAGCATTCATGATGTCCTAGATTCAATCCCTTTTAGTGGAGGATAAACCTCAAATCCAGCAAGTTGTGGCTGCATTGGTTATTTTTTGGATGGGTGAGATGACTCAGCTGGTAAAGGTGTTTGCTTCCAAAACTTGATGTCTTGAGTTTGACCTTGGGGTCCACATGGAAGGAGAGAACCAACTCTTGAAGGATGTCTTCTAACCTCCAAACCACGGGTGCCATAGCACAGTCAGATACACTCACAAAGTACATTTAATAAAAAAAAATTCAAAATAGTACCATGACCATGTATCCTATTATTTCCCCTATAGGAGGAAAACATGAATATGTGTTAGAGCATGTACCTGTACTACACAATGAGCAGGTAGTGTCTGTTGGCATAAATTCCAAGCACTCTGGCCATGTCCTGTTGTGAGCAGGGCAGGTAAATGCTAAGAGTCTAAGGCCAGACATCCTGGTGAATATGTTCTTTTCATACATTCAAATAAAAGAGGCTGAATGGAAGGAACATATGAGTGACCCTCTTTCCCCTCTTCTCTAGAGAGTGAGACTCTAAAAGAAATAACAGCATATCAGTCAGCATGCTGACAGGCAGCCATAATTGGCCTCAGTGAGTTTTCAACTATATTTGGACGTTTTGTCTCTGTCTCACCCTGTCCCACTGGACTGGTTTCTCTCCTGCCCACTAGTCCCCACAATCACTGATCTAGTAATCAATCATTCAGAATCTATTATTAATATAATTGCTTTGCCAGTGGCTTAGACTACTAGGGACTAGCTCTGACTTGTAAACTAACCCATTTCTAAGAGTCTGTATATCAATATACGGCCATGGTATTAACTTAGGTAGTCTGGCATTATGCTCTATGGGCAACTTGCTGGCATCTCTATCCACAGATTCTTCTTCTATCAGTATCTTTGCTTGGATTTCCTGCCTAGTTATGTTTCATCCTGCCACAGGCCAAAGCAATTTCTTTACTAAACAACTGAAGGAATATATATTCACACTATATAGAAGGACATCTTACATTAATTAAAAGCAACAGTAAAAATGAAAAAAGACGAAGGGAGAGATTTATTAAAAAACCTAGGAGGGAGGAGAAAGTAGGAGTTGGATGTGTACAATCAAGATACACAACATGCATGTATGAGATTCTCAAAAAATAAAAATAAAAGATATCCTATGATAAAAATTAACTGTTGGATATGGTGATATGACTAAGTAGTTCATAGTGCTTTCTGCTTTCCAGAAGTCCTGAGCTTGATTTGCATCCACACTGAGGAGCTTGTAACTGTCTGTAACTCTATCTTCAGGGGGGAGGGGAACAATACTGTCTTTTGGCCTCCAAAGGCACCAAGGTACAAGTGGCACATACATACACACACACACACACACACACACACACACACACAGAGAGAGAGAGAGAGAGAGAGAGACAGACAGACAGACAGACAGACAGACAGACAGACAGACAGAAACAAACAGAGGCACAGAGACAGAGAAGTTTTATTTTGAAAAAACTATTCAACTACAAATTGTAATAGGTACAATTCTAAGTGAATCACCCAAGTCTTCAAGTTCAAGAAGTATTCATGAGTATAGGATGAAGCACTAAGAAAGCACATGAGTATAGGATGAAGCACTAAGAAAGAAGAAGGACTTTAGAGATTTGCCTACCATTGTGGTTTTGAAGTCTAAAACTTACATTGTTTTCTCAGCTGGAGTAAAGACTTTGAAGGACCGTACAGCCACAGGTATATGAGTGCATGTGCACCCTATACCAACCCAGCTGACATCAGACAATGATAGTTAATGTCTACTGTGCTTTGGTCACTTTAGCCAATATCATCTACTCCTCAATACTGTAGAGACAGCTCTATCACAAGTGAAGAAACCAAATTCCAAATGATAATTGATTCATCCAAGTTACATAATAAATCCCTAACATAACATAATCAGGATCCAGAAATCATGTAGCTCTAAAACTCAAGGTCTCCATCATTTTTATTTTTATTTGCAATTAAAATAAAATTGCATTATCCCACTTCCTCTCCTACCTCCAATTTCTCTCATGTCTCCACCCAATCTCAGTATCATGGCCTCTTTTAAAATTATTATTGTTAAACATATATAAGCAAAAATATATAAATAAAACCTCTGAGTTCATTTAACGTGGTTTGTCTGTATGTTTTCAGGGCTGATCACTTGGCAATCTTGTCTACTTCCACTTGGTACTAGACAATCAATCAAGGAACTCATCCCTAGGAAGACTAATTCTCTGTCTCTCTCTCAGCAGTTATTTATTGGTGATAGCTATTCATCTAGGGGTGAGGTCTTGTGAGATTTTTCCCATCCATATTAGAGTGTCTATTGTTGATGCCACCCTTCAGACCTTGTTTAGGTAACCACATTGTTGCAATTTCATGAATGTGACTCCCTGCCATTTCTAGGAGACACCATCTCACAGCAGATTTCCTGGTCCTCTGACTCTTACAATATTACTGTCCTCTCTTACACTATGTCCTTGAGACCTAGGTGTGGGGGTTGTACTGTAGATGTCAGGGTCTTCAGTTTTCACAGGCTCAGCTTTGCCCAATGCTGTATATGACTAGTAAGGAAACAGCAGCTCATCCAGACCTTCCCAATGGGTAATACTCAGAGGTCTACCCTCTAACCAGGAACAATGTAAAGTGCTTCAGGAAGCCCACACTGAGGGCTAGTGGAAGGGGAGGCAGATATTCCCTGCTGCCCTTCTAGCCCTAAAAATAAGCCTTGCTATAGATTTTATACCAAAAAAAATCAAGGATGTCCATATGAATGGTTAATTTCCAATCCTTCCCAGAGACTCTTGTCACTGACCTGCACACAGCACCTCACTGCTTTTAAGTTCCTTCACACTCTCTCTGTGGTTCTCATGGCAAGTCCTTGAGTAACCAAGCTGTTCTAGTCCTCATGTTGGGACTGAAGCCATGGCTCAGTGATTAAGAGCACTGGCTGCTCTTGAAGATGGACCTGTGTTCAATTCCAAATACCTACAAGGTGGCTCACAATGGTCTATAACTCCAATTCTTGGGTTTTTGCCACCCTCTGGCTTTCAAGGGTACCAGGTATATATGTGATGCACAAGTATACTGGCAGACAAGGCACCCATACACATAAATTCTTGCTAAACTCTAACCCTTATGTTACATAAGTGGAGACCTACAGATAGGGAACTTACCCATGGTTAATGAATATTTTTTTGATAAATGGCAAAATAACCCACAGTTCCACATCAACCAAGAGACTTCATAACAAAGACACCATGGTCAGTACATTTGGTATTTGCTCCAATCACACACACAGAAAAGGGGATAACAAAGGTAAATGAATGTGTATACACACACACACACACACACACACACACACACACACACACACACTCCTAAACAAAATAGTAGCAAAGCAAACCCAGTAAAAGTGGTCAAAAGATGACAATCTGTGATAAGCTGAACTCAACCCAAACTAAAATGTGCTTGTCCCAGAAAACATATTCATATTGTCATTGAAAGACAATGTTACAGGCAGTCAAGATATCACAGGGGGTAAAATTATCTATCTTCAAACCTCACAAACTGAGTTCAATTCCCTGCAGCCACGGGATGGAATGAGAGAATGGATTCCCTCAAGCTGTCTTTTTGTATCCACTGCCCATGCACACATATACTCATAAATAAGTAGACACATAAATAAGGAAGTACGAAGTAAATATATTTGTAAAGAATGCAGGGATCTGGAGAGATGATTCAGCCCATAGAGCTCTTGGTGATATAGAGAACTTGAATAGTGATTTCAGCACCCACATGACATGGCTCATACCTGCCTTAACAACAGCTGCAAGGAAACCGAATTGGCATCAACAGGCAATGCCCTCTCTCTCTCTCTCTCTCTCTCTCTCTCTCTCTCTCTCTCTCTCTCACACACACACACACACACACACACACACACACACCTGCACATATAAAGTAAAAATGAATCTTAAAAATGAAAAAGTGATTCTTTCTTACAGTTCTGTATCTAAATAAAATAATGAACAATTAT